TGGCTCGGGATGCCCTGAAAAACAGGGAAAACCGCCCAAAAGCCGAGCGAGCCCGCAGGCCCCAAGCCCCGTTTTCCCACACAGCTGTGAGCAAGGCCCCGCTCRGTGCTCCCGCTCCCCCGGCATCCCGGGATTCGCTTTTCCCGCTGTTTTTCCCGCTCCCGTTAATACCTACGTGTATTTTGAGGCGGGTCGTGGTGTGCGGAGCTGATCCCGGCGCGCTTCCCTCTCTCGGCAGGTGCCGGATTCTCCCTACGGCAGCGCCGAGCTCCCCGCCTGGGGCTGCGGCCCCCCGGAGCCTCCCGCCGATGGCCCCGCCGTGGGGCGGCCCCACGGGACCGGGCACCCCCCGCCACAGGTGAGGGCGCMGAGCCCGGCCGGAGCGGCTGTCCCGAAAAAAAAAGGGATTTAATCGCTTCCTGCTCCCAAGAGGACATGTCCGTGGGCTGGGAAAGCTGGATCCAGGGAGCGAGCGTGAGCGTGGCTCTTCCCAGAGCTGTTGGAGCGTTGGGATGCTCGGGATGCGGTAATTCCGGCTGATTGCAAATGACTTTGGGGATAACGCTTGTGTTCTTTCCCCCTTTTCCCTGCAGGCTCYGGGCATGCCTGTCCCGCAGTATCCGTACGGAGAAGCCGCCGCCGGAGCTGCCCCGCAGGGCCCCGCGCTGCAGCCCTGGCTCCAGGAGGATCCGTGGGCTCCGTGCGCAGCCTACGGGATGCAGCCGCACTACCCGGCACACGGCAATCCCTGCCTATCCAACTCCCATCCGTCCTGGAGCGGCAGCGGGATCCCTCCTTGTCCTCTCTCGCACGACTCGAAGGTAACCGTCGCTCTCAGTGCTGCGTCCTGCCTCCTAAATCCCGCTGTTTTCCTCAAAAGCTGGTTGTGTCCCCTGGGAATTGCCCCTTTGGTTGCCTTCTGTTAAGGTGGGAGCAAAGCAGAAGTTCTCCTGAAGTCTCCAGGTCCAAAATCCTAAAGTCTCCAGATCCAGAGCTRGAATTGCAGAATGGTGCTGGAGACAACACGTTTGCCAGGGCAGGGTCTGAAATGGGTCAGAATTGGGTCTTTTTTTGCCAAATACTTCTCTCTGAAGCAGCCGACGCTGTCRGAAACGCCCCGGTGAAGAGGTGCGTGTTCCCCGTGTTCTTTTTTGGGGCTCCTTTGCAGCAGGTTGCTAGGACGTGGCACTGTGACATCGTGGCRTGTGGCAGCCGGGGACATGCAGCCCTCGGTGCCAACCTGAGCCCCGTCCTCCCTTGGCTTCCCCTTGCTCGGGGCAAGATGGGAGGGCAAACCTGCAATTCGGGGCAGTGCCCTTGAAGATTTTCTCACCTCTGGTTGCAGGATTCTGCTTATGAGAAGCCGGAGCAGAGCGGCGCAAAYCCGCCCGGCTGCTATCCCGGTGCCAACCACCGGCACGTGGGCACGATGAGCGAGCAGGAGCTAAATCCGTTGGCCGCCAAAGCGGCCCCGTCCGCCCCCAAAGTGCAGTACAGTGCCCAGCCCCACATGTACGGCGCTCGGAAGCCTCTGGAGGGCACCCGGGAGGCAGGGGGTAGAGCTGGGACCCCGTCCTCCACCAATCCCGCAGCCATCCCGCCCGAGATCCAGAGAATCCGGCACGTTGCGGAGGAGGCTGAGCAGCTGGAGCAAGAGGTGGATGAATTTGTAGGGAAAAAGACAGAAAAATCCTACTGTCTTCTGGAGGAGATGCTGACCAAGTTGCTGCTGGAGCTGGATTCCGTAGAGACTGGTGGTCAGGACGGCGTTCGGCAGGCTAGGAAGGAAGCTGTCCATCGAATTCAGGCCATGCTGGAAAAACTGGAACGAAAGGGCTTGTGAAAACGCATGGGGCACAACGCACAGCCTGGCCTCGAGGCCCCAGGAGTTGGAGTTGTGTGAAATCTCCGCTCTTAAGCACCCCTGACAGTGAAAAAAGCAATAAACGGTCACTCGGAAACACACAAAAATTGGAAAATAAATTGCCCGTGGACAAGTGAAGAGAGGATGGAAGCAGCAGCCGGGCTTGGGGTGCAGGCAGTGGAAAAGCGGCGCCGATGGAAGTTCTCTACCGCTGTAGAGGCCTCCRTGGGTTTCCACGTGCTTTTCATCAGCAGGAGGAAAATCGCTGTACGGAACAAAACTTCCCAACACCCGGCCCAATCCATAGGTACCTGCCGGAGCCGCAACGGTTCTCCCAACAGCAGGAAGGCCTCGGATTCTGTCGGGACGGCTTAGCGGTGATGTTGGGGCCCGGGATGCGGCTGCCCCGGGCTCCCTTGGCTTGTTAGGACCAACGGGAGCGCCGGGAAGGGACCACGGTGGCCGGCCGGCCCTGCTGCTGTCACACGGCCTCCCCTCCGCCGTGAGGAGCTGCTCCAGGGCGGCCCGTATGGAAACGGGACTGCAGCTCCGGCACRGAGAGAGACCGGCATCAACGGGAGCGACGTGAGAGAGCGGCCCTGGACAGCAGGGTGCTTGGGAAGGTTTTGCCACTGGAATTCCACACTTTAGTTGCAACCTCCGTTGTGTCCCGCAAACACCCTGCTCGCCGGCTCCGTGACGCGAGCCGTTAGCGACGAGATAATAAACCCCGACCACTTTTAAATGTCCTTTTGTAATGAACGTGTCTCCGGGTGGCTTTTCTTTATAGGGAAACCGGGCGCCTGAGAGTGCCTGGGATTTGGCTGCGGGAAGGTCTATCCCGGCTGCAGGTGGGTGGGAAGGGATGTGGCCAAGTGCCCCGGCGCGAGCGGCGCTCCAGCTCGGTGCTGCCAATCCCGCTCCGGAAGAGACCTCTGCATCCACTCAGATGTCCGTGCGCCTTGGGAATATCCTGGGACCTGCAAACGCCCCGTTGCTCTTGGCATYTGTGCTGCTGCCAGTCCGAGCCAGGCTTTGGATTCAGCAGGAAAGCCGAGTTGGAGCATCAGCAGATCCCAGGAGCGCAGAAAACACTGGCTCGGCCCTGCTGAATGCCCCTTTCTCTCTGTGATAAAGACAGCAGTGTCAGCAGCAGAACAGCCCGTTACGGGGCCTGGTTTTGTGACAAGTAACCGGGTTAGGACCGGTGTCACGCCGCGACCGCTGCCTCCRCACCCGCGGGAGCGGCGAGCAGCGCCGCGCTGCCCCAGCCCTTCGTTTCCTCGGAAAGGGGACGGCTTTTAATATCTTAGCCGCTGCTGCAAGGCCCTTGGCTCCGGTGAGTTTGACCAGTAGGAGGGAGATTTCCTAGCGGGAGGAGCGCTTGGCCGGGAAAACCGTCATCCCTGCATCCCTGGCCGCTCCAGACCTCGTTGGCCTTTGGTGGCRATTTCTTAAGAGCCCGAATGTGCTCCCGTGGGTCGGGCTGGGTTTATTTTGTACCTGCTCTGTCCAATCACCCTCCCGTGCAAGAACTGGGTAAAAACGCGCTGCTTTTCGTGCCCCCCTTTCTCCCAGGCTCGTTTTTCCTTCGGAATTGCAGTTGCCAGGGAAAAGCGGTCGTGGATTCTCAGCGGCGCAGGGAACATTGGGGAGCAGGGCGGGTTATCCCGCAGGCGGAATGACCCTGCAATGCAGCTAGGGGAGAGGAAAGCCGCCGTGCCAGCGCTCCGTGCGCCCGTGCAGAGCATTCCCGCTGCAGGGACGAGGCGGGAGCGGGATGCTCATCCGCCGGCGGAGCCCCTGCCCGGCACGCGAGCCAAATCCTGCCAGGAAGCAGAGCAGCCCTCGGCTTTTCCGACACTCTGGGGGCCGAAGCCGTCGGGGGCCGTTTTCCCGGAGCGGATTTCTTCTTCCGGAGTTTCCCTTCGTGGCACGTGGGAAAGATAGAGGTTATGCAAAGCCTCCTTTAAAGCACCGGGAATTAGAAAAAGAGGGGCAGGATCCACGAGCAAAGATCGTGGATCATGGTGCCAAAGGGGCCGCGCTCCCATCCCCAGGGACGGATGGCGCCAGGTTGGACAGAGGCTCCGTGTGTTTTATGGGGGAAAACGGGAGAGCTTGGTGCTTATAGGGAGGAAAGTGAGGATTCACTTTATGGGGGGAAAAGTGGGGATTTGGGGAGCTGCTGGATGTTTAACACCAGGCAGCGGGCGCCGAGCGCTGCGGAGGGGGGGGCGCGGGATCCGCTGCGGGAAGCGGGAATGTTGGAGCGGGGAGACAACGGGGACAGGCGGGAGGGCAGCGGCGCCCGGGGCGGCTCCGGCTCTGGCTCCGGTTCCGGCTCCGCTTTCGGCCCCGTCCCGCTCCGCCCCGCGCCGCGCCGGGGGAGGAGCCGGCGCGGGCGGTGCCTCCTCCGGCCTGGGCGGCCTCGGAGCCGGGGCCGAAAGCGGAGCCGGAACCGGGAGCCGGGAGCCGGTAACGGGGGCGCGCGGGGGGAGCGTCCCTGTCACTGTATATATTCCATAGGCTTGCGCGTCCGTGTAATCTTGTACGTCTCTCTGGCGTGTTTGTGTGTATATACATATAAATATATGCGCTTGTTTTCGCTAATCTGTGGCCGAGCTGCGGGGCTGGGCGTGCAGGGCGGCCCGGTTCGGCCCGGCCCGGTTCGGCCCGGAGCCGGTGCCCCCGGGACGCGCGTCCGTCCCGCTCCCGGTTCCGCTCCCGGTTCCGCTCCCGGTTCCGCTCCCGCTTTGCCGGCTGCTCATGGCGCTTCCCCCCCCCCCCGTCCTCCGCAGCTTCCCCGCATCCCTCCCTGCATCCCGGTTCCGCACCGGCAGCATCCGGGCCCGCCGGGATCCGCATCCTCACCTCCAACAAGTGAGTGGCCCTGGATGCAGCCTGTCCAGCCCCGTCGCTTCCCAAATAAACGCGGGAGATGTGGGGGGCGGCATTTCCGTGGAACGCGGGGGTCCCTGGGAATTGAGGTGCCTCCCGTTTTCCCGGTGCAGGAGCGTCATGTCGGCTCCGGAGCAGCCGGCGGGGCCTCCCGCGGCCGCCGAGGCTCCGGAGCCGGAGGCTGCGAACAGGTACGAGGCCGTCGCTCCGCACTGGTTCTACTGCAAGGTCACGGATTCCCGGGAGCGCTGGATCCCCTTCAGCAGCCAGGATTCCGAGCGGCTGGAGGCRGCTCACGCTGCAGGTGGGATAAACCGACCCCGTCTTGGGTGCTGGGATCCRGTGCCTTCCCCATCGGAAAGCGCCGGCAGAACTCCGGCCGTTCCGGTTCTGAATCACCGGGATTTCCCAGCACTGCTTGGCTTCAGCTCCTATAATTTCTGCTTCTAAATAGCCCCGCGTTTTAATTACCTGGCCCTTGATCTTAAGAACAGCATCAGGGCCTGGCCAGGAGAGACTGGCAGGGAACATGGAGCGTGTTGTCCGAGGAGATCGGGCCACGATGCTCTAACCCAGCGTTGGAGTAGGACTTCTTTGAATATATCCGTGGCTGCTGCATGGCACGGGAAACTTTGCCCCTGGAATTTTAAATCTGGGCTTCTCTGGCAATGCACCTGCCCGTAGATCTTTAGCCACGTGAAAAACTTGAGTTCGTTAGATGAGTTCTACGGTCAGAGCTCATTCATTTGACGTAGCCTTTAATTGATATATAACCCCACTTACTTGCAGAGCACTCACGCGAATGGGAGAGCAGGGTGGCAGCTGAAGGAGGAGCACAGGGGCCTGGCTCCCAAGGGGAGGATGAGGAAGATGTTTAAAGCCCTGGCTCTGCATCCGCAGTCCGTGCTCTTCCTCTCCGCTTTAAAGGTTGTGCTGGAGGACCAGGAAACGGCAGAAATAAATGCGCAGAGTTCTCCAATTTCCAGGGAATGGCTTAGAGGTCCAGAGCGCTGCAGCAATGCATTTCCCAAGGCCACAAATCCATGGTTTCCCACCCGGGCGTGGGAGACCTGTTGGCCCCAGCCTGGAGCTAGAAGGGGAGACGACTGTTTGTAGCTTATGGCCTTGCTCCTACCTGCTGCCTCTGGAAAAAGGCCGGCACCAGGCAGGTCTCCACCAGGATGCCCTCAATGCAAGGCAGCGTGCACGGAGATCACGGGCGCTCGCTGCTGTTGCTTCCACGGGGTTTGGTTTGCGCTCTGGAGAAGGTGCTTGGCTCTTAGCCCTGTGATCCGGTGTGGCAAAAACCCTCTCTTCTCGTGGGCCGGTCCCCTCCCGCTCAAACCGAGCCCTTGGTTCCTGCAGGAARGGGCCAGGCGGACGTGACGGTGGCCACGTCGGGGGGCCGCTACGACGTGCACCTGCAGCAGAGGCAGCGCGTGGCCGTGTACTGGGAGGAGGAGGCGTCCCAAGTGCGCCGCTGCACCTGGTTTTACAAGGGAGACAAGGACAACAAGTATATTCCCTACTCGGAGACCTTCAGCGAGCAACTGGAGGTAAAAGCCTCTCTCCTGGCACCTCCCTTCTCGCCCGGATACTTTTTGGCTCCAACCCGAGCCGGTCCCAAACCCCATATGGGGCTCCTGGCACCGGTCRCGCCTGAGGACATGAACTCGAAAGAGGCTTTGGCGTGATTAGCAGCAGCGTTTTGGGTTATGCTGGGGCTAAGCAGCCTCCCTCTTCTCCTACYCTCGCTCTGCCGCTTTCCTGGGTCTTTCTGCCATCTCCTGAACTGCCCGTGCAGCTCTGGCCCTGATTGCAGTCTTCCTTTAGCATCTTTGGCGTTGCTTTTTTAACTTCATGGATTTATGGATTTTTAACTTAGGGATTTAACTTTATGGGATGGCGACGGTGCAGCTGTCCCTATGGGAATCGTCCTCACTGTGCTAATGGTTGGACTAAAGGCAAGGGACCTCTGGGTGCAAGGAAGGGTGCTCTCCATCCTGGGGACGTGCTAAGCGCTCCCGAGTGTTGTGAGCACAAGCTGCTGTCAGTGGCTAGAGACTTTTCTTAAGGAAAATACAAAAAAAAAAAAATGCAGTTTGGCATTGCTGCTATTATCATATATATTAATATCACTCGGGTGACTGTTGTTTCCCCAGCTTCACTTGACTGATCTTTACTGCCTTTCTCACAAAGTGTCTTGATAAGAGATAGCTAAGATGGGTGGGAAATCTCTTAAGTAGTTGAGTATTCACCGAAATACCTCCCGCTGCATGTGCTSTTCCCTAGGAAGCCTATATGCTTGCTGTCACCCTGGACGAGTGGAAGAAGAAACTGGAATCCCCCAGCAGGGAAATCATCATTTTGCACAACCCAAAGGTGAGGGCAGCGTGTCCATCGCCCTGGCGAGGGGCGCAGAGCTCCCCTCTGGAAATGGGTCCGGATGCCGCAGGGCGGGTGGGAGCAGCCCGTCCCGCAGCGCGGGGTCCCCGTTGCGCGGGGGGCTCCGGGCGGTCGCGGCGGCGCCCGTCCCCGTCCCCACGGTGAGCGGCCCTTCCCGCTCGGCAGCTCATGGTGCACTACCACCCGGTTGCTGCCTCCGACGACTGGGGTTCGGCCCCCATGGAACAGGGGCGGCCTCGGACTGTGAAGAGGGGAGTGGAGAACATTGCGGCCGAGATCCCGCCCGGTGAGTGCGGGCTGCCCCTCTCCTGGCCCTGCGCAACGTGTCCCTGCTCTGCCGCAAGGCTTGTGGCTTGTCCTCGTGCTGGGGACAGGCTTGTTTGCTCCCTCCCGGCCAAGCCCATCATTACCTGAGCACGTGCAAATTGAGCAGATGAAGGTGTGTGGGAGAGGAGGCAGCAACAGGAGACTCGACCTGGTGCCTTCTGCCGGGCCTCCCGAGTGCTAAGCCCTAAACTATGTGCAGTGACTCACCAGGGACGCCGGTGCCCTTGGAACGAGTCCTCCCGGTCTCCTGCTTTCCAAGGCAGAGGTGACGGTGACCCTGGGCTGCCACTGGGAACATCCACTTGTGCTCTGGATTTTGCTGCAGAGCTCGTAGGAGACAAAATTGCGGAGGCTCTCGGAGCCATCCCGCCTTCCTCAGCTGGCCCCTTGACTGGAACGTGCTCCGGGGGTGGGAAGTGCCCTGGGGGTGGAATTCGTTTTTACCGAATTCAGCAGAAACATGAGAATCCCCTCTGCTCTTAGAGCACAAAACCCAGGTGCTCACCTGAGTTTCCTTCCACCGAGGCTTGAGGTGAGGACGCGAGGTGCTTTCCYCCTGCCGAGGGTTTGGTTTCAGCGGATCGGTTGCCCGCTTGGGTGACGGTCTTCCGCAGGGAATGTGCCTCCAACCCTCCTCTTATCGCCAGGGGAGCCCCTGCAGATCGACCACCTGGTTTTCGTCGTCCACGGCATCGGGCCGGCGTGCGACATTCGCTTCCGCAGCATCGTCCAGTGCGGTAGGTGGGAGGCCAGGGCCGCCGCGCGGGYCTGCAGGACACGGACTCACGGAGGCTGCCCACAGACCATTCGCTCTGCAGACATCCAGAGCGGAGGTTTCTCACAGCAAAGCTGCCTTTAATTCCTAGAAAATATACCACTGCTTTATTTAGGCTATTCTCCTATATGTTCATCTAATGAAGCCGTTTGCAAGGCTGTTGACCACCTAGAATCAAGGGAATCAGCCTCTCTCCTGCTTCAAAATTAATTTCAAGTCCACCTCCTCCCTTCAGATTCCCTCCCTAACATATGCATCGTCACAACACATTTATTTTTAACTCCTAAAAGCACCTTTCTTATCCTGGCCGCTGGGTTTAACCCTGGCATGTGTGGCAGGAGTCTTATTACAGATCAAAGAGCAAAATCCTTACGTGGGGAAGGACACGGGGCCTTCCCTGGTCTTGTAGTTAAAGGGTAGCAGCAGATTAAAGACCCTGCTGGGATTTCCCTTGGTAACGATCTTTTCTTTTATCATATTGAGTGTTGTTGATGCAGCAGCCTTGCCCCATAGCCCTGGTTCATGGTGCTGAGGTCCCGCTCTCTTGCAGTGAACGACTTCAGGAACGTCTCCTTGAACATGCTGCAGGCGCATTTCAGGAAGGCGCAGGAGCAGCAGCAGATCGGCCGGGTCGAGTTCCTGCCTGTGAACTGGCACAGCTCCCTGCACTCCACCGGCGTGGACGTGTAAGTGCCCTGGTCCTCCACGTGCTCCTGGAGAGCTCTGCAAGCTGCAGAGCCCCTTGAGCACCGGGGCAGACCTGGCAAGGGGAGCCGAGGAGCTGCCTTGGACCTCCCGTAGACACTGTCCGTCCTTCCACGGACTTGAGGCCCCAGTTTTGCCCGAGAGGCACCCTAAGAGCTCCCTCCTAACTGCCGTTTCCTCCGTTTTCTTCTTCTCCGCGCAGCGACCTGGAGCGCATCACTCTGCCGAGCATCAACCGCCTGCGCCACTTCATCAACGACACCATCCTGGACGTCTTCTTCTACAACAGCTCCACCTATTGCCAGACCATCGTGGACACGGTGGCCTCCGAAATGAACCGCCTCTACCAGCTCTTCCTGAGCAGGAACCCCGGCTTCAAAGGAGGCGTTTCCATTGCAGGTCACAGTTTGGGTAAGGACACTTGCCTTGGACACCTTGGGTGGAAGCGAGGGCAGCATCCCCATTTCTGGCCCTAAAAGGGAGATGGTTTGGGTTTATTTTCCACGCTGAGGTTGTCTTTCTAGGCTCCCTCATCTTGTTTGACCTCCTGACTAACCAGAAAGTTGCCCCTGAGGATGACGAGCGTGGCAAAGAGGTAGGCTCCATGTCCYGGGGCTGCTGCGGCTCCGCCAAGCAAATAAAACAGCCTCGGAGCAAAGAAATTAGCCCAAAACTTGATCCCTGGTGGTTGTTCCCAAAGGGTTCCACGACCACTTCAAGCACCAGAGGGGTTGAGCAAGTCAAAGAAATCCTGAGGACGTTAGAGCTCTCTGAGTACAGCGATGTGTTTGAGAAGGAGAAAATGGACAGGCAGACRCTGGTAAGGAGCTCTCTATTCTGCCACCTCTGATGTTGCCTCTTTAATTCTCTCCCAGCATGTGCCCGTCTCCCCGGTACTGGGTCACCTTCCCATGATCCATGCCCTCGAAGTGCAGAAGGAGSCGAATCGCAGAGGCCAGAGTTACCTCCCCGCACACATCTCTCCGCTGCGGTACTAATATCCGGGCTGCTTATTCCCTAGTTCTTGTGTACGGAGCAAAATCTCAAAGAAATGGGAATTCCCTTGGGACCAAGGATGAAGCTCCTTCATTACATCAGCTCCAAAAGGGARACGCAGGTTTGTGTTCTGCCCAGCTCATTCCCCATCGCGTTCCCTCCCGGACAACAGGCCATTTTTCAGCATTTACGGTCAGTTTGGTACAAGGCAAGATGCAAAGCCCCTGTCTCCGAGCACCCTCAACTCCTCGTTCCTGCCTATCCTTCCCTGGGCTTCTCTGGGGTTGTGGCAGCAGGGCTGCTGTTTCCATCTGCAGCTGCTTGCACGTGTTGCATTAAATAAGAGAAGTGCCAGGAATCCCAGAATGGTTGAGGTGGGAAGGGACCTCTAGGGATCATCAGCAGGGACACCCAGAGCACGGGGCACCCGGTCACATCCAGGTGGGTTTGGAGGATCTCCAGAGACTCCACAGCCCCCCTGGGCAGCCAGTGCCACCTCCCAGCTTGATGCTGCAGCCTAAGGGATCCCAGCCGCTTGGGAATCACTTCTCCTCTCGCAAGTTTTGGGTGGGCAGGACTGCAGGAGCTGCATTATCCCCTGTCCGTGTCGGTGCAGGACGTCAAGGAGCAGAAGGCAACGGCTGCTGGGCACGGTGGGGAGAGCAGAGCGGAGGCCGGACCCTCCGCAGGCAGCGCGAGCGATGGGAGGAACTGCCAGTACCGGGATGTTGCCCTGGGGCAGGTAACCGCCGAGCTCGTCCTGCCGCCCGACCTGCAACAGCGGGACACCYGTAATCCGGGCACAGGGATTCTCCCGGTAGCGAATCCAACCTTCCCTCTCCCCCAGGTCTCGGCAAACTACCCCCAGCTCATCTACAAGCCGACCATCTTCTTTGCTTTCGGGTCTCCCATCGGGATGTTTCTCACCGTGCGAGGAGTGAAGCGGATCAACCCCAACTACAGCCTGCCCACCTGCAAAGGCTTCTTCAACATCTTCCACCCCGTACGTATAAGCTGGAGCCTTCCTACGTTAAACCAGAGCAGGAGGGAAAAACTGTTCCTGGGAGGGTGGTTGAGTTGCCCGGAGAAGTTGTGGACTCTCCATCCTTGGAGATATCCAGGACCTGCCTGGAGGGGGTTCCAGGCAACCTGCTCTGGAAGGGGGTTTGGACCTGACGGTCACCCGGAGGTCCTTCCAGCCTCAGCCCTTCTGCGCCTCGCATCTCCCTGTCCATCTCCGTGCAGTTTGACCCCGTGGCGTACAGGATCGAGCCCATGATCGTCCCAGACGTGGAGTTCGAGCCCATGCTGCTTCCGCACCACAAGGGCAGGAAGCGGATGCACCTAGGTGAGGAAGAGGGGCTCGGGGGGCGCCCGTGGGCCCCGCGGCGGCGGCGCTGACGCCGAGGCCTCCCGCGTTGCAGAGCTGAAGGAAGGGCTGACGCGCATGAGCGTGGACCTCAAGAACAACCTGCTGGGCTCGCTGCGCGTGGCCTGGCAGTCCTTCACGCGCGCCCCGCTGCCCGCCGTGGAGGCCGCCGAGGCCGAAGGGGAGACGAGCGCGGAGGCGCAGACGGGTGGGTGCCCGGCGGCGTYGCCACCACAGCCCCGTCCCACTATGGAGCTCATCCCTGTCCAGCCGCAGAGCCCGGCGSAGCTGCTGCTTCCTGGCGCTCTCGGAGCGGCCAGGGCTGCTCCACAGGCAAAGGGGACCTGGGCCTGTCCCTGCGCGCTCGGCATTCCCTGCTTCCAGAGGGCAAGCCCTCGGCTCGGGAAGAGCCCTTTGCCTTGCAGCGCTCTTCACCGAGGGCTGAGGCAGGGAAACCAGGGGGGACCATGCACAAAAGCCATCCGCAAGCAAGCACAGTCCCCAGGGAGAACCATCCTCGGTGGAGGGGAGCTCCGAGCAGCCCGTTATTCCGCAGCGTTTCCAGGGCACAAACAGCTCTGGTGGCTGTGTTTGAGCCCCAGCTTTCCCTCCACTTCCTTCCCGTAGAAACGAAGGCGGAGGAGCCTCCGGAGCCGGCGAAGGAAGAGSCCTCGGCCATCAACGTGGGCATGCTCAACGGAGGCCAGCGCATCGACTACGTGCTGCAGGAGAAGCCAATAGAGAGCTTTAATGAGTATCTGTTTGCACTTCAAGGCCACCTCTGCTACTGGTAAGCGTCCCTGCAACCTCTCGGGGCCTCAAGCTGATGGCTGACGTAGCCAGAACGTCATCAGTTTTAACGTTAAGATAATAAAGAGCCTTAATTGCTTAGGCCAGCCACGCTCCTTGCCTGTAATGCAAGTGGTGGCCAGGGGGAGGAAAGGGATGAGGTTCTTTGCTTTGCTGTATGGAGCCCATAAGCACAGGGATGCCCCGAAGGAATGGGGAGAAGCATCCCGCTCTGATTCCCCTGTTTTCCTCCCCTAGGGAGTCAGAGGACACCGTTTTGTTGGTTCTTAAGGAGATCTACCAGACACAAGGCATCACCCTGGACCAGCCTTTGCCAGGAGGCCAGTGACCCACGCGTGCTCTCCTGGCACTCCGATGTAAGTCACCTTGTCCACACCTTTCTTCTGATTTTTCTTAAGACCTTAGAAGGCACTGGCCCACGCGAGGGACAAATTTCCTATTCATGGCCCGTGCCAAAGGCAGGGGTTCGTTTGGGATATTCTTTCCTCATCTGTCAGCGAGTTGGGCCTCTCTCATCTTGCACGCAAGCGTTCTCAGGCACAAGGACTCCGAARCTTCTGCTGCTGAAGATATGGGCAAGAGAAATTGCTCTTGGTTAGGATCATTTGCAATCACCACAACCAGCTATGAAGCCTACACTTGAATCCTCAAGGACTAGACATTTCTTATAGACAGATAGGAAACCACTATGTGAACCTGCTACGATTACAGAGAGTGTTTTCACCTTAAACTGTAGTTTGTTGGGAGAGGGTAGACTAGAAACATTCATTTTTACTGTTTCTTGTGCTCCAAGTCCAATGCTGGAAATTGCTGGGCCACATGGGTTGGAGGGGTGCTCCAGCATGGCTCTTCTTACACTCTTCTTTTGCTTTCTTAGCTCCAAACCACCTCAGCACTCACCAGGAAAGTCCAGATTTCTTCTCTGCCTTCCTCTCTCCTCTGCTGCTGTGTCCTGCATGCTGCTTCCCAAGTACCTGCTGCTACCTGGAGACAGGGGTGATTTTCTTCCAATTTGGGTAGAAAAAACAATCATAGGAAAAAGCACTTCTTCAAAAACACACCCAGTACTTGCACCGTGACTCCCTGTGGCAACACGTACTCTTAACCCTCTACCCTACAACTCGTGTGAGCACCTTGTAAGTTATCACACCAGTAGGAGCACAGACTAGATGTCTAGGCTAGGATGCGATGTACRAGGGCCTGAAATCTGCTCCCAGCTTGTAGCTTGCAACCTTTGAGAAGAAACCAACGCCTTAAACACGCAGTTTTGAGGGAGCTATAGCAGCCTGGCTGAGCTGGGAGGGCTGCTGCTTTCTCTCAGGAGAAGGATGGGACATTGTCCCTCTCCCTCCTGCAGCAGAGAGGCTGCTGTGGTCTTTGCACAGTGAAGAAGGTGCTCCAAGGAAGCCTACCCCATAAAAACCACTCGTGAGAAGCATATTTGTGGATACTTGAGCCAGGCTTTGCTGGCTGCTGCAGAGCWTGAGCGTTGGCTGCTCAGCATCATCGTCTTGCCTAACTGCTCCTGGAGTTCTAGTGCTCAGGCAGGATTGAGATGGAGAGGTGGTGGCTGTGGGAGAGGTTATTGATGAGGGAACTTCCCCCTTGGCTGCTCTGTGCCCCACGGAACATCTGCTTCCTTCCTCATGCCCACAGATGAAGCCACAGGTCTCAACGCCTACAACTTGGGGAACCTACTGCTAGGAAAGATCCTTCCCACGAAATCTGTACCCACAGTGGGGGAAGCAGCTGGTCCTCAGCAGCATCCAAGGCCTCCCGCGAGCTTGGAGCAAAGCTCCCGTTCTGCTGCCRTGGGGCTTTCAAGGTGGCCGTGGGGCCAGCCGGGCTGCAGCACGACTCCACTTGTCGTTTCTGTTGTTAAATAGATGAAATGCAGCTAGCGAAAGCCGAGCCGGGTCACGCGGGGTTTGGACACCACATCCTAATGACTCCGCTGAGGGAATTAAAACCAGTTTTGCAGAGTTAGGGCTGCAGCTCGGTGACGCGCGCCTGCTCTAACCGGGGACGGAGCCTCAGACCATCTGTCCCCGGGGACCACAAGCATCCAGGCTGACTCACGGGCYGGGCTGACGCTTGAACCTCCACACAGATGTTTCAACGAGGCGCAAGGTCATCGCTCCGACGTGGCTGGAAACAGCCAAACCACTTCCCTTCCTACTGACTTTTGCCCTGGGTGGCTCGACAAGCCTTGTTTTTTCCCCCCACCCTACCTTCGGTTTGTTTGTCCTCCGTTGTACTTCATTGTTTGCACTATTTAAAAGCTCTTGTTTGCAATCCACAACCTTCCTCCCACCCGGCGACACCTGAAGCTGCTCTTACCTGACTGCAGACCAGACCTGCTGCTCGGTCCCAGCCCGAATGAAGCATCTCCTACAAGGGTATCAAAAGAAACAAGTCTTAACAGGAGGGGTGCTGTCATGATCAGCTGGTTAAGTTATGCACTTTGTTAAAAAAAAGAAAAAAAAAGAAAAAAAACCCAAACATTTTAAATRTTATTTAACGTCTTTTCCAGTAAAAGCCAAAACAAACCAACAACAGACGGCTGTTTGGTGTGTGCATGTCTGGGAGGGTTTAAAAACTTACATTTTCATAGTTTCATGAGAAAGTAAAGCTATTTCTGTAGTTACTACCGAAGTAAAATGCGGGGTCCTGAAAGGCTTATGGGAGCSAAGCTGAGGATGAGGGGGTGTTCTCATTTCTGTCCTGACTTGAGCTCACTGCAGGCACCTGGGCCCAGCTCTGCCAGTCCTTGCTGTTTGCAAATAGTTCTTTATTAAATTATTATTAAATTATTCTTTATTAAATTCTTTATTAAATGCACCTATCTGTGAGGGAAACTAAGGAGAAATAACTACTTACCATGGCACGCCGGAGAGCTGTGCCTTGCATTTCCCAGCAGGATTCTATCCTTTCTTGTCTGAGAAAAACAACTAAAAAAGGATGCTCTAAGGCACCATTTTCTCTACACCTGTGCTGCATTAAAGCTGCAAAGAGAGAGGTAGAAAATAAACACCACCTAGGAACCCGTGCAGACACACTGAAGAAACTGGTTTGTACAGCAACAAACCCAGATATCACAGCTTTTAGTATCACAAGGAATACAACTCATTTAGAAAATTAATTTTCTTTATTTGGCAAATTAGAGGACAAAAAAAAAAGAACAAGATGAACACAAAAATACAATCTTCCCTCTCCCCACATTAAATACATGATTAAAGACTGCAGTGTTGCACTTCCTACTCCCAATGAATTCAACTGAGCTTTAACAGATGTGCTTAGATTCAGCGCAAGGACCAGGTCCTGCACTTAACATGCTCCTTCTATGAAAATGCAAGCTCAGCTGAACCAAAGGAGAACATCTGATGATGTTTGCTGCATTCTTGCACTGTAGCTAAGACTAAGAGCAACCGTCCCACACACGAGCATATAAAAATGGTCACATATTTCTGATTTTCGAGTCAGGACCTTCTATAACGAGGCATTCCCCTTGCAGGCCTRCAGGATATCTGGGACTATCTCGCGCATTCCAGAGCAGGTCCAAGGGAAGAGTTGCTTACCAAATTTTGTGAAACTAAACCTGGTCCCCCTGCACAGACACTGCAGAACTGTTGATTTTTGAGTCAACTGTCATTTTAGTGGCTTCTCGTGGGCCACGAGCAGCCTCCCCCTGCCCTATTCCTACACATCCAGGCGAAGGCCGGACGTCACCGACTTCTCCTGGTGCCCCGGCGGTTGCCTGGACTTGCACAGCAGCGGCTTGTGGCACGTGGAGTCGCTCAGCGGCGGGTAATACTGCCGGTAGCAGAGGTAGGCGAGCRCGAGGCCGAGCGCCGAGCCCACCACCACGTCTGCGGGATAAACCAGAGCAGAAAGAAGCGCCTTTTAGCGGCGCGGCCGCTTCGCACGGCCCTGCCGCTGCTTTTCACAGAATCCCGGGATGCCTGAGGTGGGAAGGGACCTCTAGGGATCCCCCAGCCCAGCCCCTGCTCCAGCAGGGACACCCGGAGCACCCGGGCGCATCCCGGCGGGTTGGGAGATCTCCAGAGCAGGAGACCTCCCTGGGCAGCCTGGGCCAGGGCTCGGGCACCCTCACCCCAAACAAGTTCCTCCTCACGTGGAGATGGAGCTGCCTGGGCTTCAGCTTGCACCCACTGCCCCTTGCCCTGTCCCTGCCACCACCGAGCAGAGCTCGGCCCCTTCCTCCCTCCATTCCCGCCGGTGCTTGCACGTGTTGATGAGATCCTCTCAGCCGCGCTCACCCTGCCAGTGGTGCTTGTAGTCGCAGGTGCGGGACAGCGCGAYGAGGCTGGCGCCGAAGAGCGGCAGGAGGAAGGCGCAGAGGCGCAGCGCCCGGCCGCGGCGCCCGGGCACGAAGCAGCGCAGCTTCCCCGCCACGTAGAAGGAGGAGAAGGCGAGACCGGCAAAGGCGACTGGAGGAGAAGCGGGTGGTTTCCGAGCTCGGGGAGCTGCGGCTCCTGTTTTATATCCCCCTGCTTTGCAGTGGTGGGGGAGCCCCAAAAGTCCCCCAAAAGGCCAGCGAACGTGGTGCAGGGCTGAGAGAGCAGAGCCCAAACCACCCACCCAAGGGCTTGTGCTCCCCGCGCTTGGCTCTACGGGGCGGCAAGGCGCAGGGCACGAGGAAACACTCACACGAAGCGTGTCCGCTGGGGAAGCTCTTGCGCCCCTCGGCCACGACGCCGGGGTCCCCCGTGCACCGCAGCTCAGCGTTGGCTCGGCCGTCTGGGAAGCAACGATAAAAGAAGTCCGGCCGCGGCCTAGGGCAGAGGAGCAGAGCGCGTGGCACCCCCGGGCGGCCCCCCCTGCGCCTTGTGCTCCCGCAGAGCGCCCACRTCCACGCGGGGCCATCCCGCCCGGCTCCCATCCTGCGGGGACCGGCGGGACCCGGCACGGGCAGCCCGGCACTGCTCCCGGGGGAGCCCCTTACCTGCCCGCCGCCAGCTTGAGCGCGTTCGTGAGCACCCCGGTGAGCAGCAGGGCCAGGCTGGCGGCTGGAGCAGAGCACAGAGCCRCGCTCAGGGCCGTTCCAAGATTCGGTGCCCGGATACGGGTGTTTTGAACATCAGCCGGAGCCAGGGAGCTCCGCCGCGGTGCCCGGCGCAGCCCTCGTGCCCTGGCACTGGCCACGTCACCGGGTTCCCCGGGTTGCAGCCAGGGCCGGGGTCCCCGCGAGGCCGTTTTGGGCAGGGGGGCACTCACCCAAGCAGCCTTCCCGCGTGTCCTCCCGCTCGGCGTGCAGGAACAGCCGCGCCAGCACCATGAGCAGCAAGGGAGACAGGAAGGAGATGAGCTGCCCCAAAACGAGAGGACTTGAGCTCGGCAGCCAAGACACAACAGCAGCTGCTTAAGCACCCGGGGATAAACCCAAAGCCCATTATGTTTAGAGCAAAGTGCCTGGAAAGCTGCAATTTCAAATGGAGTTGCCTYGAAAGAATCTGGAGACCTAAGGAGAACAGTTTTGCTGTGTTATAAAATGCTGTTAAAAATGACKGCTTTGAAGCAAAACATTGCCCTCYGGGGAAGCACTGTACTCTGCAGTACTAGCAACGTGGAATTAAGCATGATTATGAAAACATGCAAAATGAATTTAGGCTAATTTATTAAATTCAGTCTAAATAAAGACAAAAGAATTGGGCTGCAGATGTCGTTTGGTTGGTAGTAACACCGTGTACTTTCAGTATCGTGAATCAGGAACCATGCTTATTTACAAGAAATGCCTTTTCCCCCTGCCCCCGCCCCACCTGGAGCATTGCTGCAAGATAAAGCATTGCTGCAAGATAAAGCATTGCTGCAAGATAAAGCATTGCTGCAA